AAGATGCGAGGTTCATCGCGATTATTACATTGGGCTACTGTTGGGCCGGTTGGCCTTGGATCCTTCATGATAGCGATTTAAAATTTATCACAAATCAGGCGGAGGAAAGAGCCATAGGGTTTGCTGCGGGTATAACAGAGACAGGCAAAATGACAAGAAGAATTAAGTAAATTTCTACAAAAAAAACTAGATGATTTTTGGGATTCTGGTTTGTGCTATTGTATTGCTAACACACATAAGATTGGCGCTAAATAAAAAAGACACCATAAACTGATTAATTTTCTCGTTTTTTTCCAGTTTAAATTACATTTTTGTAATTTTTCGAGAACTCGTTTCTATTACAGGATTTCTAAAAAGATAGCGCCATTCTTCCCTATATTATAAATCGAATGCAAAAAAGAAATTTGATATAACTTCAACTGCTAAAAAGTTACGTTGAAACTAAGAACGCAATGCATTCCTTGTTTCATTCATCTCATTCCCACTAAGGAGTATTAATAGGGGGGGAAGAATACAATGATAGACTGCGTTAGGTGCTTCGCGCAGGAAAAAATATTTTGGAATCGAGGCGCATTCAATCCCCTTAATAAAACATTCAAAAATACTATTAACAAATAAGTTAAAAAGCGAGGGAGAACACTGGCCCCCTCGTGGAACACCTGAAGTGACATAAATAGAGTCAGAAAGGAAAGAACCAATTTTGACCTTCTGCTTTTTTTTTTTTTTTTTTTTTTTACGGATATGCGCACTCGCAAGGACAATGTCCTATCACGCTCGAGAAGCGGCAAGTGCGCGGAAATGTCGGTGTATGTTGGTCTTGAAACGGTTCAGGTTGTAACCTGCAGGGAAAACCGTCGCAGGGAGTTTATTCCACAGCGATGCTGTTCTCCAGAGATATGAATTCTGATATAATGAGGTTCTTGGTGCCTCTAGTTTGACAGTAAATTCATGGTTACCGTCTGTTTGACGGGTTCGCCTGGTAGGTGCTACTCTCGGTGGAATCATACGTGCCAACTCTTCAGAGCATTTTCCGTGATAGTACCTGTAGAAGAGAGATAAGTCGCCCACAGATCTGCGATGTTCGAGACCATCCAAGTTACGAGTAAGTGCGGGGTCATTGATCAGCTTGATAGCTCGTTTTTGCACGGTATTCAAAAGCATTAAGGTATGTTTGGGTGCAGCACTCCATATATGTGAGCAGTACTCCATAGTTGGTCGAATCTGGGCTTTGTAGAGTGTCAGCAATTGGCTTGGTGTGTACAGATGTCTTGTACGAAATAGCACCCCCAGCTTTTGGGAGGCCCTTTTAGCAATATCTGCCACGTGACTGTGCCAAGACATGTTCGTCTCTGCAGTAACCCCCAAGATGTTCAACTGACTCTGTAATGTGACAGCACTTCCAGATAGCATGATGTTTGGCTCACCGGTGCTGGTCTTTTTTGAAAACAGAGCTGCTTGGGTTTTCTGCGCGTTGAACTGTACAAGGTTTTTGTTACCCCAGTCCTCTATTATCTCCAGGTCGTTATTTATCTGCGATATTTGAGTTAGTCTAAGATGATGGAATTCACGTGCGGAAAGACCTGTGGGTGGTATGAGTGAGGAGACTACATTGCCATCGTCTGCAAAGCAATAAAGTGGATTTACTGTTTTATCTATGAGGTCATTTATGTAAATCAGGAAAAGAGTTGGCGAAAGGATTGCTCCCTGTGGCACACCAGCATTTATTTGGTAAGAGTTGGAGTTCTGGCCATCCAGTGCAACATAAATGGATCTGTCCTTTAGGTAACTTTCAAACCAAGTGCAAAGTTTCGTCGATAATCCCATTGCTTTGAGCTTGTTGAGCAGATTTTCATGCCAAACTTTGTCGAATGCTTTAGATATATCTAAGGCAATTGTTCTTGTTTCACCCCGCAACTCAATCGCTTTTTGCCATAAGTGAGTGACGTATGTAAGTAAATCGCCAGTTGACCTATATTTTCGAAATCCGTATTGCTTATCGTTGATAATTTTGTACTTTTCCAAGTTGCTGATGGGCCGACAGAAAACTAATGGTCCATGTAACAGCCCTTTTGCTAAAAAAGGGAGCTTTTCAGCATAGTTTTTAGCAAAAGGGCTAAAACCTATGCTGAAAAGCTCCCTCAAGAGTGTGTGGTGGTCTACACGATCAAATGCCTTGGAAAAATCTGTATATGTACAAAGCATCTACTTGTTTAAAATTTTCCAAAGCTGTAAGTATTCTATTTTGATAAAGAAGCTAAGCAAATTTGACGTTGTAGACCGAGTTGTAGACCGACCAGCACAAAAGCCATATTGGTTTTTATTTATTTTATTCTGGCATATCCACTCAAGCTGATCACCAATTAAACTGTCAAAGAGTTTACCTATGCACGATTAAATACACGCACTTCTATAATTAGTGACATTATTTTTCTCACCACTTTTGTGAATTGGTACTACATTACTAAGTTTCAATTTTTCCGGATAAGATGATAAATCTAGTGATTTATTGAATAAAATGTGTAGAGGTTTAACTAACAGACAAATAGAGTTTTTTAAAAGCATATTTGGAACGCCATCAGGTCCTATGGAGTTTTTATTCGGCAGCTTTTGAATTTTAACAAAGATGTCTTCTATGGAAATGTGTGCAAAATCAAAATGTTCTGAATGATTTATTGGTGTATTATAATAAACTATTGAATCTTTGTCTAGGTTGCTAGGAGTGCAAACAGTCTCAAAATATTGTTTAAACAAATTTACTATATCTTGCCCATTTTCTGCAAACTGATCATTAAAATGCATAGATTGTGGAAGGCCATGAGAAGATTTCAAATCGCTTATAGTTATAAAAGACCAAAAATGCTTTGGTTTCAGCTTAAATTTGTTGTCAGCATTTTTGAGATATTCACCCCAAAATTTTTCTCTGACCCTCTTACACTCTGAACGCAATTTCGCAAATTTTTGATAGTCACTGTTCAAATTGGAACAACTAAGCTCTATGTGCAGTTTTTTTCTGAATAGTAAAACTACCAAGCTGGAATTTAGGAAACGTGCAGGTTTGATATTTTTTTAATGGTACAAAATAAGCAATTCCTATCTCTAGAATTTCATAAAATGAGTTCATAGCTAAGTTGATGCCATTCTGAGACAGAATCTGCTCCCAATTTATCCCTGCAAAAAAGTTATTTAACCCCAAAAAATCAGCATGCTTAAAATCATCGTAAAAATCTTGTAAATAAAGGCTTTTAGAATCTCTAATTTGCTTTGTATTTGTACTACATTCATAACTCATATGATGTACAGGGTGTCCGAATTTGGATGGTTTTAATAGGAAACGTCAATTTCTGAGCAAGATACAAAAAAATTAACCCCCCACTCCGAGGCTCAGATTTCTTGAAATTTTGATTGGTGCAAACCGCATTTTGATATATTCAACCGTTTAGCCGCTAGAGGGCGATTCTCGATTTTGAGCAATACTGTGAAATCTTCATAACTTTTTAATTTATAAAAATAACTGATTTCTGTAAGAACTTCCTAGAGGCACTTTTTCAAGCAGAATTCAGTGACGTTTTCAGTTTTTTTCTATTGGGTCTCGATTTCAAGATATTGACCAAAATCCGATTTTTTTCAATGGGACACCTTATATATTAATAGCTCTCTTAAAAGCTTTGCTTTTCCTGATTTCAATGATATAAATTTCGATAGGTTTATCTCTAACAGTTTTCGAAAAAAAAGATTTTTTCGTTTTTTTCCTTAAGAAACAATGTGTTAAAACAGGTCTTTATATTTGTAAGGAAAATGAGAAAGGTCTCTTAATAACTCATTGTTTCTTATGACAAAAACCAGATTTTTTTTTTTTCTGGAAAACTGTTAGAGATAAACTCATCGAAATTTGTATCATTGAAATCAGCAAAAGCAGAGCTTTCTGAAGAGCTATTAATATATAGGGTGTCCCATTGAAAAAAATCGAATTTTGGTCAATATATTGAAACCGAGGCTCAATAGAAAAAAACTGAAAACGTCACTGAATTCTGCTTAAAAAAGTGCTTCTAGGAAGTTTTTACGGAAATCAGTTATTTTCATAAGCAAAAAAGTTATGAAGATTTCACAGTATTGCTCAAAATCGAGAATCGCCCTCTAGCGGCTAAACGGTTGAAGATATCAAAATGCGGTTTGCACCAATCAAAATTTCAAGAAATTTGAGCCTCGGAGTGGGGGGTTCATTTTGTTGTATCTTGCTCAGAAATTGACGATTCCTATTAAAACCATCTAAATTCGGACACCCTGTACACTGCTATCAAAAATGGGATCGCTGGCTAAGCCAATAGTTACAGTATTATCATTCGAAAACATTAAATCTAAGCAAACATTCCTACTATTTGGCATAACAATCAATTGAAATAGTTGCTAAAAACCAAAACACTGAGCTACACGAATATCTGATGACGTCCCAGGACAATTTACGTGTACTCCAAAATTAGCGTTTGATCATTGTGCATCTGGTAGATTGTAATCACCAAATATATGCATCCTTTGGGATTTGTATGACTTCATCACATACTCCACTGCCTCACAATGTATGGTGTAATATAAGTCTGGCATACTAGGTGGTATATATAAACCAGCAATTACAAATTTACATCCCTGAAAGTTACAAGCACCAAAAAGTTGCTCAACATTAAACTAATTTATGTTAATCTGCGCAGAACCTATAGATTTACGAATATAGATAAGTATGCCACCCCCACTGGTTTTCTGGCTTGTGTGGAGAGATCTGTCCAATCAAAATTAATTGTAGTTACGGCACCAATTCACGATCCAAAATGTTATCACATAAATTGCTTTCAACTAGTATTATAATATCGTAACAGGAACTATTTATTGCTAATTTCATACCTGCTTACTTTGTACGTAGCCCGCTGACATTCTGATGGTCTTCTTGCTTTTTGTCAACAACCACCGGCATGGCATGCCTTTGATATACTTAATTACAACTTCTTTACCCTCTAGCTGCTTTGTAGGCAGCTTGCTGCATTTTTGTCGAATCAAATGCAATTTTGTAGGCAGTTGAAACAAGCTTTTTCTTAACACGGATGGCTTTTTTTATGATATCGGAATTGTTACAGACTACTTTAAGTGGTCTATGTTCCACATCTCCTTCCTTTTTCTGCCCCAGACGGATAACCTTCATTAATTGATCTGATAGAGCGTTCATGTGCTTCAAACAAAATCTGTTCAACATTAGACCCCGGGAAATAGGCCTTGAGCTTGTGTATCTCCTTCTTCAGAGTGTCGACATCCACCTGTAGCACTTTGACCTTCCTAATTATCATAGGAGCAGATTTAAACGCCTCACGACATAAGAGACCTCTTTTGAAGCACCACAGCTTTGATTTCTGATCCCGAAAGCTCTGCACAGGCTTCAGACAGGTGAAAGGCCACTCTACAGCAATCACAGAAGATACGTTTGTCCTGTGTGTTAAGACCCTGATTGCACTTTGTGGAATACATGGCAGGCATGTTCAATCTACCTTTACCAGAACATGACCTTGTTAATAACGAATACACTTTTTCGAGAGAAAATAATAAATTCAAGACTTCCTGGCAACGGGTGCCGCAGACGTTGCCGTCATTAAAATATTAAGAGATGTGCTCTCCTAAGCAGCGGTGGCCCGACGGCGGCGGAGCGCAGTTCTTTTTGACGCTAGCGGAATCACGCCACGGGTCGGTCGACAGGTAACTTCGACGGAGCGCAACACGGACGGAATATTATAAATTCTTTAAACAAGGAGGCCCCACACTAAAAGCCCAAGCTCACATCCTAATAAGTAAAGTATGGGTTACTGAGACCATATCTGCCGAACTAAGAGATGCATTCATAGTTGCCATTATTGGAAAGGGAGACAAGGCTCAATCTGGAAATTACAAAGTATTATCTCTCTAGTTTCTGTTGCAGGAAAGATACTTGCCAGGATATTGTGGCGCGTTCGCCAGCATGTACAGAATTTAACTTTTTAACACAGATTACCTAATACAGATGCGAAAGTACGTATACTTGTCGTCAACGATATTCTGTGATGAAGCCGGGCCGCCAGCGCTCCGACGCATAGATAAAGATCGCCCGCGTCAGGACAATTAACGTGGCCAAGTGCGTGAGCATGTTCCAGCCTGTGTGTTTACATATTTTTGCGGGTAGAAAAAAATATTTTTTTGCTGTTTGTGAACCAATTAAAGAAATAATATTATATTATTGAGCTTCCGCATTTATATAATAAATATGTTCAAAATACATTGATGTGGCATTGGTGCGGCCAGCCTATGTCTATCAAATTAATCTTGAACCACGAATTCGCAGCTCTTTCGCATCTGTATGTAAGTATAGTATAGGTAGTATAGATTTTAAAATATTATAAAATATTTTAAAATATTTGATAAAACTTTTTTCGCTAATTCTCAAAAATCACCCTATAGGTATATCCGAAACGAAACTAATAAAACTTTGGAAACGACGAAAATATATTTTATGTACGACCTACACTGTAAGAGCTTATTACGTAACTCATTTGAGCCTGTTTGAGTTACGTAATAAGTTGCCTTATCGTGCTTAGTGATGTAATGAGCTCATTACATAACTCAGTGATGTAATGAACTCTCATTACACCACTCAGTGATGTAATAAGCTCTCATTACATCAGTCAGTGATGTAATGAGAGCTCATTACGTTACTCATTTTTATTGAAAAACGGCACTTTTTAAAATTCATTTATCAAAAATTATAAATATAATTTTTTGTGAAAAATTAAAACCATTTCGAATATATGAAAAAAATCTGGGTCGTACATAAAATGTTGTATATCACACGTACGGTAACGCTCATTACACCACTCGTCTGATTACCACGACTCGGTCTACGACCTCGTCTTGGCAATGTTCCCCACTCGTTACTGTAATGAAGCTCATACCGTACTAGTAATATAAATAACTATTATGTACGACCCACACTGTAAGAACTTATTACGTAACTAGTTTCAGCTTGTTTGAGTTACGTAATATCTTATATTATCGTACTTAGTGATGTAATGAGCTCATTACGTAACTCATTTTTATTGAAAAACAGCACTTTTTAAAATTCATTTATTCAAAAAAATTATAAATATAATCTATTGTGAAAAATTAAAACCATTTCAAATACAAAAAAAATCTGGGTCGTACATAAAATTTTGTATATCACACGTCCGGTAACGCTCCTTACACCACCATTGTGATTACCACGACTCGGTCTACGACCTCGTCTTGGCAATATTCCCCACTCGTTACTGTAAAGGTGCGTTTAGACTTGAGCACGCACGCACTGAGCATAAGCGCACGGCATTCGCTCGTGCTCGCCGGCGCCATTTAAACCGAAGCTCTGTTTCTGACGAATGGGTTGATACATTTTGTTCACGAACGACGTAGTGAACACAATGAACGACCACGACGTAGTAGTTTCATGTTTTGGGATGCTTCACATCTCATAAAATGGGTAGCTTTTTGTATTTTTGTATCAATAATAATGGTAAATCGTTGGACCATTCCATGACAATGATAGCAAAGAAAATAACCACACACTAACACAACAAAATGATAAATGAAAATATTTCTACGTATGGACACACAAACCAAATTCCCGCTTAAATTGAGCACGTGAATCTCTTTGAGCATGTACCAGAGACCGACACTGGCTGGCTTGCGTTCGCGGCTATTCGCATACAGAAAGATTCAGAGCGAGCGTTCGCGCACAGCCGTTTACACTAGAGCATTCGCGGTCGCTCAGTGCGTGCGTGCTCAAGTCTAAACGCACCTTAATGAAGCTCATACCGTACTAGTAATATAAATAATTATTTAATATTCTTCAAAAATGGCAACTTTTTTCTAACTTAAACGCCCTCGTAATTTTAACCATTCCCGCGATAACAATGCTGTCCCTATGAAATAGTTGGGACCCTGTATGAAGACTGGTATTAGTTAGTAGTTTTTAGTTTAAGTTTGGCTGTGATACGTTTATAGTGATTATTGTAAAAGTTGTAAAGAGTTGAGTTAATTAGTGAAGTAATTAGTGTCAAAGTGTGTAGTAACGGTGAATAAATTATTGTTGTGTTAATTGGACTTTGATTTTGGAATAAACGAACTTAAGATTTCTGTCACGCACCCCAGAGCCGTGTCATTGGTGTAAGAAGTGAGATATAATTCGAGGACTCAAAGTGAAATCCAATTGCAGAATAGTGCGCGGACACTATTGTGAACACTGGGACAGTTAGTGGCAATCACAAAAGATACTTAAGCGATTGTGTAAATTACCCCGGAAGTGACTATATACCCGATTTTGATTGTGGTAGTGAATATTCAAGTAACTTGTAGAAGATTCTATTTGGAAACCAAGGGAGATATCGGATTTTTGACTCCGCCGACGTATTCGATATATCAAACGGCATTCAGAAAAAAAAATCGAGGAATTTCGGGAAAATTCTAGAACATTATATTTGGAAACCAAGGGACATATTGAATTTGCGACTCCACCGACGTGTTTGCTATAACAATCGAATGAATGAAGATAAAACCAACAACATTTGATGGCTCTACGTCCTGGACTATGTATATCCGACAATTTGAAGCTGCAGACAAATACCAACGGATTGAACGATCAAGAAAAAGCAACAGCACTCATAGTGGCGCTACGAGGATCTGCCTTAGATCTTCTTCAGTCCATTCCTTCAATCTACCAACAGAATTACCAGCATCTGAGTCAGACATTAGAATTGTAGTTTCGGAGACCATTACAGATAAGAAGTATTCAGAATTCAAGTTAAATCAAGAATTCAAAAACCCGGCGAGAGTTTACAAGAATTCGAATCAGTTTGGCGTTTCCTGCAGCTGGGGAAGACATGTAGGAATGGATGGCAGTATCTGCGTTTATTGATGGTCTCAGAGATTCCAAGATCCAGGAAAACCTGAGAATGTCCAAGTTCAGACATAGTAGCGAAGCTCTTGTCCGAGCATTGGAACTGGAAGCAATCTTTGGTGCCAACCCACGACCCAGTGAAGACCCCAAAGGATAAACAAACATCTAAAGAGGATGGTAGCTTCGAGAATGTTATGAGCAATTTCATGGAGAGAATGGAGAAACTACTACTAAAATGTAGAAAAACGGGAAACGACTCCAGACAAACACCAACACCGAGAAATCGAGTAGAATGTTATCGGTGACATAAGCTTGAGCATATTCAACGAGATTGTAGAGTAAGGATATCCTCTCCATCTAGGAATCGTTTCCAACGATTTTTGAGATCTAGAGACGCCACGCCATCTCTAATAACAGACAGGGAAACGAGAACTAACCAATATGGAGGAGTGAATGCTCGTTAGTAATGACGATGTCCCCAGGGTTATTTACATAAAATCATTGAGTAGTTATTATAGAGTCTTAAAATTCGAATTACAAATTAATGGAGAATTTAAAACCATCACTTTTGATATGGGTGCTGAAGTTTTCTATCATTAGAAGAACATTAATCAAGTCTCGGGCAATCCAACCGCTCACTAGAAACCTTTGACTACGAACAGTCACGGGCGAATCAGCACCAGTTCAAGGAGAAGCTATGGTTGAGCTTACTTTTGGATCTTCCACCTTTAGGCTCAGAACATTAGTCGCCGATATAGAAGATGATTTTATTTTGGGAATGGATTTGATCGGCCAACATGGTTTCTCTTTCGATCTCTCTATGAACATTCTTAAATTTGGTAATGTAAATCCCAAGCCGTTAAGATCCTGGCCACAAACCCAGTGAGGATTCCTGGAAGTACTGAGAAGATCATTTGCGGAAAATTGGAAATAAACCTTGGGTGCTGCGTTGGACTGATACATAATTTTATTGGAGATTATGATAAGAATTGCCAATGTTTCTTCTGAAACAGTAAACATAAAAGAAGGAGATATTGGGTGGTATGAATAAAAATGAGCATTTAGTTTCTACTCCAAATTTTGGAGTAAATACTCCACGTGGTATGAATAAAAACTACGAGCAGATACTTCGCTTGAGTAGGTACTCCTATGTATAATTTGGTATGAGTAGATTCTCACTTTTGGTATGAATAAAAAATAGTTTATGCTCTTCGGCAGGAGAATCTACTCCATAGTTTTAGAGTCTGCTATGCAGTAGACTCAAATTTCTGCTTCAA